ACAACAACAACAACAACAACAACAACAACAACAACAACAAAAACAAAAACAAAAACATCTTTATTTTCTCGATACAAATATGAATATTTAAAGTGCAACTAACCCCAATTTTTTTTCTCGCCAAAAGAAATTTCCAAAAGAAATTTCCTTAGATCTGATCATTTAGTTATCAGAGTATTTGTAAACTTAACGAGAGTAAGTGTAATTCACATACCTAACGCAAATTGTTGAAGAGAAAGAGATTTACTTACCGTTAAAGTTGACTTAGACGCCATGTTGGAACAGTAAGTTTAGTAACCGCGCATGCATCATAGCGAGGTTCAGCCTAAGCTATAGTGTTAGCGCGGTCACAATTCTTACAACAACAACAACAACAACAACAACATCTTTATTTTCTCTATACAAACACAAATAGTTAACATTTGTGGTATATTTAGTACATGTCGCATGTTTTGGATAAGGTAACTGTTGTCATTTTGTTTTAATGACGCTGGAGACTAAGTGAACCGTTAGGTTTTCGAGTTAGCCTCCAGCCTAGTCATGTCCAATTCCAGGAGAGATGAAGGAACGATTTACGGTTTACAGTCTAGTGTAAGGGAGAAAAAAAACAAAAAATAATTAATTCAGGTATTGGTCTGATGGTAAATGATGTTTTATTGTTTTTGGAAAAGCAAATACGCTAAGTTCTTAGATCTATCTATCTATTGAAAGATCTATTACCTGAAAAGGAATCGTCTGTTTTCCTACGCTTGTCCTATATGACGTCGGGAATTGTAAAACGGGCCTTTACTGCTCAACTGTTGAGTCGGTGGAAGTGTGTTTGGCTTAAAAGCGTCCTTAGCAATGGTATGCTGTCACTGTAAGGATACCAACCATCGAAGTAACTGTTTACCGCCTTTCATGAATACCATTTTTTTGTGGAGAAACCTCATCCCTACTGTTATTGTGTTTATGTCAGGAGTGCTGTCACATGCCGCCGCGGCAGCCATACTGGAGTCCCAAAACAGTGAAACGGCGGCCATGCTTGTGTCCCTAACCAATCCTATGGGGGTCAAACTCTTTTCTTATGTAAACACTGTCTTGTTTCAATAAATTTCCATGGCTGCTGGCCACGTGAGTGAAAACGACGCTTTATAAGTTGCAGGCCTAGGTTGTTAAGCAAATTCATTTTGACTTGAAGATTACGTCGAATCGCTGCTCCTACATATTGCTGAGATCTACACTTTAATCCAAGACGAAGTAAGTGTTTTTCTTGCATTTTTTGCGAATGAGCGTATATGCTTGTGTTGACAAAAACTAGAGCCCCGTCCACACTGCGCCGGAGAAATTTGAAAACGGAGGTTTCACTTTGAAAATGCATCAAATGCTTTCCGTCCACATTACGCCGGAGAAATTTGAAAACGCAACGATCACCGGTCATTTTGGATTTGCGTTTGAGGAAAACACGGTCAAGTAAATCGCATAATTATCGTGAAGCCATCGTTTTCGAAAAGCTCCGATAGCAAAATGTTTTTGGTCTTCACTAAAACACAAAGCCGGCGTTTCAAATTCCTCCGGTTTAAAGAGCGTTTTCGAAAAGCTTCTTTTTCGTGACGGATTTGTGTGGATGGTAGGCCTAACCGTAGAATTAAAGCTACGTTTTTTAGATTTTTCCGGCGTAGTGTGGACGCCGTCTAAGTAGCTAGCGTGTTCAGTTTTCTTTGCAAGAAAAGAGTGTTAACGTGAATTTGGAAATATTTGTTTTAGCGAATTGCCGTGACGAAATACGCCTTCTCTCGACGACTTAATAACACGTGCAAAGGAGATTGAGGCAGACGTCATCGCTGTAATGAATCAAGTTCCGCCAAACTCATTGAAAGCTAAACGGATGGCGCAACGTCTTCAAAAAAGCAAGTCCATCATTGCATCACTAATAGAGGCCAAACATGCTGCCGGGACACCCCCAATCTTCACACAACTTATGAAAGGAATACTGGATTGCCATGAAAAAGTGTGTCGAGTCATCAAAGAAGCTCCAATTGACACATACGAGTAACTTGAAAATATTGATGCGTAAGCCGGGCGCTAGTCTAGGAAAGATGGTAAACGTCCTGCAGTGTAATGTTAGGGTTTTTATTGATACATTATACTTGTTGTTTTTAATATTATTATTCATAATATTGTGTGATTTTCATGACTTCGCATTGAGGACCT